TACAAAGTTGCATTTTACCAGAATGACAGCTGTTACTATGGTCATATTATATATAAAAACACCTCATTTGCTGACAAAAGCTTGATGGTTAAATATTTCTTCTTCTTACCTGTGCAACTTGATCTCTTAAATCCTCAATTTCTCCCTCCAGACTTTTCTTATCACCAAGGGCTGTGGCCAGTGCAGCTTCTTTAGAATTGAGGGATGCTTCAAACTCTTTAAGTTTTACTTGGGCTCCATTAAGATCAGATTCCTTTTTTGCATAGCTGGAATAAATCAGAGGAAGTGGTAAAAAAGTCGAGAAATGCTCCCAAAGTAGACTGCTGACTAATAAACCAAGGTGCAATCTGAATCTTAAACTTGAGCGACACCCAAGAAAAACACTTTGTCTAGGCTTAATTAACTCTAATTTAAATCAACTCCTTAGTTCTGCTTCCTCATCTGATATAACAATAGCTTGATGCTTTGCTTGGGGTGTAGAAATCTAAATATAGGGGAAAGTCAGTGTCAAACAAGTTTAAGAGGCATGCATGGAAAGGAGATGCTGTGTGCTTATTGAAGGCACCTCTCTTTTCCTCTCTAGCTAGCCACTGTAAAAGTGTCCTACCTTCACCAGAATCTTAATAGGAAGCAATAAGTTCTCTCATCAAAGGCTCTTCCCATAGAGTGGAAACAAGTAAATTATCATCATTGCCTTTTTATCCACGCAGAAACTTGTGCAGATGCACTGTCTGAGCTGCCAATAGACCATATCCAATTAACAGACCAACTTCTCTATGAGAACTGATGTTCACTATCTGTAAGCCGTCCTCTATAAGCAGAAGCTGTAGCATAGTGAACTGCTTTGCAGCACCCTTCTAATCATACATAATGGCAAAGTTCCACAGATCTGAGAAAAGATACCCAAATCCTGTCTATACAATAGTCTGTGCCATCACTGAAACTGCACTGGTGCAGAGGTACAGGTATCTTTTTCTTTATCAAAGTAAACACAAAAGCTTTTCAAATTACCACTCAAATTAGTTTCTGTGTGTACACAAGCAGTGAAACAGTTTCTAGGGGTTTATTCCCTCAAACAGCATATGCAAACAAAGACGACAAATGAGAAAAGTAAATTAATGCCACATACACAAACCCACACTCTTCAGCCTAAATTAATTATTCACAAATAATGCTACAACAGGCTACTATCAAAAATAGGGGAAAGGAAAACCATACTCGGGAGTCAAAATTACTGTTGACCTTTAGATAGCACAAGCAGCTGTGTTTAAATGTGTAACACAAGTTCTTCCACCTTGAAGTTGATTCATTTTCTCTCTGAGATGCCCACAATTCTCTAGTAAGGACAGTAGCACATAGAAGTTCTAGATGTTTATAATCAAACTATGAACATTTCACAGGAATGTACAGATTCAGGCTCAATAAGACAACAGCTAGCACCTTCTTCAGTTTTCACACTTCTCTTCACAGAAGTGAAAAAAAAAAAAAATCAGAATTCACAAAACTAAACTGAGGAGACTGAAAATTGGATAGATTCTTAAGAACAAGATTCAAAAGTGTTACAGCATTAATACGTTCTCTTTTTCAATAACTTTTTTCCGCTTAGAAGAAACAATAGCAATGCTTCTCAGCAAAACAAGACTAATGTAAAAACAACACACAATTTTAAAAGAAGAGACTCTCAAATTTAAAAGATGCTTTTCCAAGATTATACGCAAGCATATGCAATCAACGTCGTGCTCAAGAGAGGTGTGTGCACAACTGCTTGCAAAAAAACATCTGTAGAAATAACGTCTGGCTATTTTAACACTACAGCCACAAGATGGCAGGCTTTACATAACAGACTTAGCACCAGCTAATCCTGCTCCTGTTGAGTAACACCACGCTCACCGAAGCGGTAGACTGCAAGAGCCTGAGAAACACACCGACTCTTCTATACTCAACTATTTTTTTCATTTCTGCTGCTCAACGCTATCCAGTCCCCTCCCATGGCATTTTACATACCAATTCTTACACGCAACAGTTCAGAGCAGTTGGGTCCACAGCTCAGACAAAGGCACTGAATTTAGGTTTTGGCCATGTGGGCTCCTACTTCCAGCCCCCTGCATTATTCACGGGACGCCTCTGTCCTGTCCCTCTCCTCCCACCCAGGCCTGTAGGAACTTCAGCACACAAAGAAGCTGTATGGCAGAGGAGGAAAAAGAGCGAAGGAAAGCTGTCTTGCTATGGTACATCTGTAATAAAAATCTCTCCATTACCTGTTGGGAAGTATGAGGACCCACATCAGGCCTTTGTTGTTTGATCATTGCTGGAGAAAGCTTTATTCAAAACATGGAGAAACTATTTCACACAGGCTCTCTCACAAGACTTTGTGCTGAAACCAAGCCTATCAAGTTGGATCCTGAAACTAGAAAGTCACACATACACGGGCCCATAATGTGCCACCCCCCACTCCACCCCCGATTATCGTGGACTCCAAAACAGGAAGACTCCCCACATACCTTAAAGTTACTTTGGTTTAATTTTTTTTTTATGCAAATACCTCTGCCAATTACAAACTGGTCGGCAGCTGAGGAGAGAGCTCTTGCAATTGGGGCAGCAGAGAAAAGATGTATAATATGGACTAGCAACAACAATACGATTAAAACCCAATACACTACCTGTACCACTAAATTAGATATTACCTGTTATATCAGCCCAAAGTACCTTCCTTGCTTGTTTGCAACAAGATTGGCTATGAAGCCATCCTATAATTTAATGCAACTGAAGTCACAGAAGGGGAGGGAAAAAAAAAAAAAAGAACTAAAATTAAGCACTATTGGTTGTTAGCATTATGAGTTGTCTAACTATGAGACAGTTCATCCAAACACATTCTCAGAAAAAACAGAAACTGGAGCTCAACACTTCAAACGCTGAAAGCCAGATGAAAATCTCAGCAGCTCAGCAGTGTCATCCCAGCCCTAAAGCAATATGGGAAAGAAGTGAAACCAGATCAGAAAAACCTCTGCAAATTATAAAAACAAACATCAAATGTATACAACATATACTTCACACTTACACCTAGTAATTTTTACCAGGAAGAACTTCAACCTTTCAACAAGAGCTAGCTTTTACCTCCACTGAAAGTCAAAGCTACATCTCAAAACAACAAAAAAACCTCAAACACCTTCCTGCTGTAGTGTTCAGAAATTAGCCAGAACTGTACTCCTTCAAGTAGTTTGGCTCATGAAAGAAAAAGAAAAGCAAAGAAATAATTGCTGACTTGCATATCCTTCAGAGAAGTAGCTTGTTTTTCTCTTTTGACTTGAAAGTATGTGGATCTTCTTATCCATGGAATTGTAATTTATTTCAAAATAGCGTAGAACTAGGATCTGCCCAAAAAAGAGCCAGTTCCCATTAATTTTCACTGTACTTCAGGGAAAACTTGCACTTCAGAAATTTAACCCACAACATTTAACTCACACAGGCACTATGGAGTGTAAAGAACTTGGTCTCACTCCTACCGACCTAGCATTACCAGCACATCTCTCACTAAGGGAGCTGCACCCACGTATACTTTAGAAACGGCTCAGCACACACCACAACAAAATAACACAGTCTGTTTTCCCCAATACACTCCAACCACTCAAGCAACCTGACAGCCCTAAGCATTCCACAGTGCCACTCTCAGGAGCACAAATAACCCTTAAAGTTGCAGTACATCTGCCCAGCTCGCCATTAAACAAGTAATTTCTCATAGCAGATGCAGTCTAGATGAGGCACAGATTTCTAAGCAGGTTAATTTGCTCACCATTCCCAAAACTTGGTAACCTGTAAAGCAGAGCGAATCAACTCAGACACAACTACAACGTACTGTGGTTAACTTGTGTCTGGTTATCTGCACTAGCTCATTTAAAGCTAATTCAAAGCTCTCAAATACAGATACCAAGGGGCAATCACTGTTTTGGTGAGATTACCTGGACCAGTTTGGTTTGCAGTTCAGTAAAATGGCCAAGTCACTGAACAGCTCGCTGAAAGAGGCGGGCTCCCTTTCCACGCTCTTGCGCAATCACCCTTCTTCCCTCAGCCCTCGTGAGGTTCATGAAATAACCTAGAATTTCCTGTAATCTCCTTAAATTTCTTACTAAGTTAGTAGAAAAGCCACGCAGGAAAAAAGATCAAAATAATTTTCTACCAGTTTAATAAGTTGAACTGGCCTTCTGGAGCCAGACAAACCACACACCTAATGCAAGGTAAGCAGGAAGACTGGTCCTTTCAGACAGTAGCTAGATCTCCGGTGTAATTTAAAGTGCCTTTAACACTGATCAAGCGCAGGATGCCATGACCCTACAGGAGATTTTTCTCACCTCCCACACCCACCCACTCGTTTCTGCCAGCACTTTGAGTCAGATCACAAAGCTAAGCACTACCAACGTTAACCACACCCTCCTTGAAAAACATCGGTTTTCCACCAATTCATGACACAGCTACACAGGTGTTGTAATTCATGATAATGCAGCCTATATTTACATCCATATAAAATTACATGGTACTGCAGATTGAGCTGGTTTTCCACTCCAGTTGTAGAGAAATATGAAAATAAAAAAAAAAAAATCCATAGTCATTAATGCTTCATGTTTTGTTTAGCTAGCCATCAGTTTTCCATGTTTTTCCCCTACAGCCCACAAAGCACTAAGGCCATGTTTTGCAAGGAAGTTATTTACAATAACATAAGAAACATCTGCCTAAAAGCATTCAAGTTTTTGTATATAGATCAACATGGCAATAAGAGTAATTGGGCAAGCTTGCCTTTCCTGTAAATAACTTGGTTTCAACTTGTCTCAACTTGTCTCACATCACCCATTTTATTTAACTGGAGACAGTTGCTGAGTGTTTGAAATCAACACTAAACATATATATCTCTAGCCACTCAGTGGTTAGAGATAGCTCAACACTCTAGCTCAACAGTGACCCTTCTTGAAGAGCTCAGTCAACCACGTGAATCCAGCAATCTAGGCAGAACCTTTCACACATGCAGTGAATACATATCAAGTCACTGCCCATTACCGTGTTATCATTACATGTCCACATATTTGAGACCACCTTTAACCCTACAGCAACTCATTCCTTGCATTGTTACATCCTACACTGCATGGAAGTCACTCTTAGATAACTAAATTACATTCTTACAGTTTAGTCGCTTAAATTATTGTGCAACAAGTTCATCACTCCCCTCCTTACTCCTCTGGGTGCTCACTCTACAGTACACATCAGAACAGTGATAGA